TGGTGTTCCTGGTGGCCATTACGTAGGCGAGGAAGGTGTCCGAGTTGAGAGACCTAACCTTGGAGCCTCCTTATACATTTTTCTCTAGGGACAAAGTGCAACTCAGGCCACACCCAAAATTCCTCTCTAAGATAGTCTCACAATTTCATATGGGACAGGACATTTGTTTGCCAGTGTTCTTTCCTAAACCACACCGGTCACCGTAGCCTGCACACTCTGGATGTCCGAAGGGCCCTGCCGTTCTATTTGGAGCGAACTAAACCTTTCCGCAAGTCGACACAGTTGTTTGTCGCCATAGTCGATAGAATGAAAGGGCTTCCAGTCTCGGCGCAACGTATATCATTGTGGATTGCGGACTGCATCCTTACTTGCTATGAGCTTGCCAAGGTTCCAGCCCCGGCGATCACAGCTGACTCGACGAGGGCACGAACATCCTCAACAGCTTTCCTGGCACACGTCCCGATCCAGGAGATCTGTAAAGCAGCCATCTAGTCGGTGCACACATTCACAGCCCACTATGCAGACAACCAGCAAGCCAGAGATGATGCGGTGGTTGGCAGGGCTGTTCTTCAATCAATTGTTCCATGACTCCTACCCTCCTCCTATGGTAAGCTTGTGAGTCACGTAATGTGGAAGGGATGTGAACAAGCACTCGAAAAGAAAAAATGGTTACCTATCTTTCATAACTGTTGTTCTTCGAGATGTGTTGTTCACGTCCATTACACTTCCCACCCTCCTTCCTCTCTGTCGGAGTCTCCGGCAAGAAGGAACTGAAGGGGGGTCGGGTCGGCAGGGGTATATATGCACCAGCATGGAGGTGCCAATCTGGGGGCTCCCCTGCCGACCCAACGGGAGCCGCTAAGGGAAAAAGTTTCCAACATCCGTGCGCGCACCTAATGTGTAATGGACGTGAGCAACGCATCTCGAAAAACAACAGTTACAAAAGGTAGGTAACTGTTTTTTCTAATCTTTCTGTTAGAACTGATGTTCTAATTCTTGTTAATCATGGGATCAAAAGGGTATTATGGTCCGTGTCTGAGAAAATAACTCCTGCAATAGATTACCTTTCAGTATTACCTCTCCAGACAGAGACTCAGGCATATAGAAAATATAGGAATTTTTATCATTATGCTATTGTATCTCCCTTCTTTTTCTGACAGATCGCAGTTGAGATCAACCTAGGTGCTTGAGCACCTTGGTATCAACAAGTGGGAGCTGCCGATAGGATGTTCTCCATAACAGCTCCTTGATCTTTGGAAATGGCTTCTGACCTTGATCTGATATTGCTTAAATCTGTTGATCATAAGTAAGGCTACATTTTAGTCACAGGTATTTGTAGTAAAAGTCACGGACACGTCATGGGCAGTAAACAAAAATTCACCAGCTGTGACCTGTCCATGACTTTTACTAAAAATACCAGTGACTAAAACTTGCACGGGGCTGCCCGGGGGTTGGAGTCAGCGCACAAAGCTGCCTGGCCATGCCTCCGCCTAGCATCTGAGCGAGGGGGATGTCACCGCTTCTGGGGAGCCCCCCAGGTAAGCTCTGCCCAGAGCCCGCCTCTCCCCATCCTGTGCCCCAATCCCCTTCCCCCTCCCACACCCAAACTCTGCTGGGGAGGGGAGAGGGCAGGGGCCCAAGACTGCCCCAGTGGCCAGTGCGACTGGTGCGGGGGCTGCCTGAGCTGCCCCTGCACCAGGTGTACTGGCCGCTGCAGAAGTCATGGAAAGTTACGGAATCCGTGACTTCTGTGACTTCCGTGACAAATTGGCAGCCTTAATCATAAGTGCTCATCTTCTTAGGGAGGGTTTGTTTGGTTTTTTTGGAGGGGTGGAGGGGTGGGGAAGAGTGGCATATTCCTTCACAGATAACACTGGTCTACAATTTTTGAGACCAGTTTTATCTCTGCTTCAGAGATAAAATGTGCTATTTATTATGTATTTTGATGTGCTGAATTAAAATATGACAATTAAAACAACTGATTGGCTACTGTTTCTAAGATATTTAAGTTTTTACATTTTATGTCTATGTATATTGTGTAGATAGTAGAGTTTTAATCATAAATTGTAAACCTAGGTCTTTTCATGTGTTTATGGTTGCTTTACATGATAATATTTCACCTGTCCTGTTTATGTAACACTTTAAAAATCAGCAAAAGGGTTATCTAAATAAAATTTATTATGAAAAAAAAGGCAAAATACTATTATGTACATAGTTTAGTCCTATTCAGTGTCTACTCGGCACTTCTTGGCTTGTCTCTTGTATTCATTAAATGGAGCATCTCTTGTCACTGTCCAGCAATAGTCTGCAAGCATTGATGGGCTCCATTTGCCCTGATAGCGTTTCTCCATTGTTGCAATGTCCTGGTGAAATTGCTCGCCGTGCTCATCGCTCACTGCTCCGCAGTTCGGTGGAAAAAAATCTAGATGAGAGTGCAAAAAATGTATCTTTAGTGACATGTTGCAACCAAAGCTTTTGTATGCCTTGAAGAGGTTTTCCACCAACAACCTGTAGTTGTCTGCCTTGTTGTTTCCGAGAAAATTTATTGCCACTAACTGGAAGGCTTTCCATACCGTCTTTTCCTTGCCACGCAGTGCATGGTCTAATGCATCATCTCGAAGAAGTTCACGAATCTGAGGACCAACAAAGACACCTTCCTTTATCTTAGCTTCACTTAACCTTGGAAATTTTCCTCAGAGGTACTTGAAAGCTGCTTGTGTTTTGTCAATGGCCTTGACAAAGTTCTTTATCAGACCCAGCTTGATGTGTAAGGGTGGTAACAAAATCTTCCTTGATTCAACAAGTGGTGGATGCTGAACACTTTTCCTCCCAGGCTCCAATGACTGTCGGAGTGGCCAATCTTTCTTGATGTAGTGGGAATTTCTTGCACGACTATCCCA